ATGACGAATTCTTTAATTTTTAGTTGAATCGGGTCATTTGAGCGACTAAGTTCACATTTTAAATTTGTGTGTTGTGAAAAGTTTACTGTAAGGTTATTCAATTATTGTGATCTTGTGTCTTAATTCAATAACTAAAGGTGCTTTAAAGCCAATAAAAATGCCATTAACACCAGCACAAGTTGCACAAGCAGTAGCATTAATTGACCAAGGGCTAACACAGCGTGAAGTTGCTATTGTGCTTAACGTACCACGGTCCTCAATGCAGTATTCACTGAAACGATACCAGGAGACAGGACGCTACACCCGCAGGCCAGGCAGTGGGGGCGTAAGGTGCACATCGGCCCGGGACGATCGTTTTATTGTTATGGAGATTTTGAGAAACCGCTACCTGACCGCTGTTGAGATACGCCAGCGGCTCCAAATCGCAAGAGGCGTTAATGTTAGTGAGCGTACGGTGAGAAGACGAATGGAGGAAGTGAATTTAAAAGCTCGTAGACCAGCACGAGGTCCAGAACTTCTCAGACAGCACCGAGTAGCCCGACTTCAGTTCGCAAGAGAACATGTCAATTGGACCCACGAGCAATGGGCTAGAGTGTTCTTCACAGATGAGTGTCGAATAGCTTTACGTGCTCCAGACGGTCGAGAACGAGTGTGGAGAAAAAGAGGAGAGAGGTTTCTACCCATTACCACCACCCAAACTGTGAGTTTCCATGGAGGCTCAATAATGGTATGGGGAGGTGTAAGTTCCGACGCACGTACAGAGTTGGTCATCGTCGATAATCGGCTTACAGCTACTCGATACATCGAGGAAGTTCTTCAGGAGCACGTAATTCCTTATTCGGGATTCATTGGACACGACCAATTCCTCCTCATGCACGATAATGCACGCCCGCACGTCGCACATTGTGTAGAGGAATATCTGGAAGAGGTTGGAATACAAAAATTACAGTGGCCAGCTCGTAGCCCGGACTTAAATCCAATTGAGCATGTATGGGGTATGTTCAAAAAAAAGATAAAGTCCAGCTCCAAACCGCCACAAACTCTAAATGAGCTCCGAAATGAAAAAACTGCTGCGTTGCGTATGGTGAGTGTAGAAAACCGGAGACCCTTTTAACTGGAAAAGAGGCATTCCATCTTAGTCCTCACGGGTGACAACGCATCTGCGTTTTGATTCGCAAACGACTATGGGCCACAGCAACCACTTACCATCAGGTGGACTGTGTGCTCGTTTGTTACTCGATCATATAAAAAAATACAGACAAGATATTATATTTACATACAAATACATAGATACATAAATATATACATATTATAAATACAAATAGACATATAACATAGACCTATACATAAAATAACAACAAAGTAACCAAATTGACCATATTAACTATCATCTAATATCTTCATAAAGTTCTTATGTACCAATATTTTAAAAGCAGTCTTATTAGATGTTTTTCTGACGCCATCCGGCAAGGAGTTCCAGACCAGTGCAGCCGGAAATGTGAAGGCTTTACCAACAAAATTAGTAAAATGTAGTGGGATAGTTAGTATATTATTATATGAGGACCGCAGAGTTCTATCATGCGTTAAGAAAATATACTGAAATTTCTCCTTGAGATAAGAAGGAGTGGTTGGATCATTTAAGATAGAGAAGAGAACAAGCAAAATTCTAGAGTCACGCCTCTGTTAAATAGTAAGCCATTTAAGGCGATAGCGATAGTGAGAGATATGATCTGTGGCGACATGCATTTTTGTCATTCTTTTGCATGTTTAAGTAACGGCGTGTGCGCCGACGCGAGGTTCGTGTCGGTTGGGGTCGGAAATGCTCGGCCCCGTTAGCGCTGCCTTCGTGACGGTCCGGGCGCCTTCGGTTTTTACTGGCAGTCAGCATTTAAACGGCCTCAACGCTAGGCCTCACACTCGCGCCGCCGGAATAACGGTTATTTTTAAATCACGTCTAACTTATTCTCGGCTTCCTATCTCGAGCACTCCTTACTTCTAATTAGTAATTGTATTTTCATTATTCATTGTTTTTGCTACGTACTTATAAATTTAAATTGCCTGTGTAATAGAAGAATATATCTACATTTTGTGTTTCAGAGTGAAGACGCTTTTATTTGCCTAGCAACAACCCTACAAAGTGGTGACCCCGAGAAGAACATAGCGTACAAAGTACATCAAAATGTGGCAAGATGCTAGCGCAGATGCATCGAAAAGCAGCACTGGTGACAAGGAAGCGGTACTTTGCCGAGTAGGCATTAAGATGCCGCCATTTTGGCCCGAAAAACCGACGCTTTGGTTTGCACAGTTGGATTGCCAATTCGCATTAGCGAATATTACATCGGATGTCACAAAATATTATCACGTTATATCAGTGTTGGATCCAAAAATTGCTGCGGAAGTCGAAGATCTAATAATTAGACCACCGGCGAACGAGAAATACGACACATTAAAACGTGAGTTGATTGCTAGACTATCTGCTTCAAGAAGTGAGCAAATCAAACAGTTGCTCATGAATGAGGAATTGGGAGATCGCAAGCCAAGCCAGTTTTTGCGGCATATTCGCAGTTTAGCCGGATCAGGGTTCCCAGATGAGGTCCTGCGCACCTTATGGTCGAGTCGGCTACCCAGTTTGCTACAAACTATAGTGGCAATGCAAGATAACCTTCTACTCGACCAACTTGCCCAATTAGCCGATAAAGTAGCTGAGGTTACGCCACATACGTCAGCACAACAAGTAGCTTCAACATCCACTTCAGACTCATCGCCAGCATTCGAAGACCTGAATCGGAAGATTGATGCGCTGACCAAGAGGCTCGATGAAATGTCGACAGCAAGAGGACGTCGCGACTTCCCGAAAAGGAGGTCGAAATCCAGCAGCCGGCGCCGCAGTCAGTCGAGAAGTCGTTCTCGTGCTGATGGCCAGCGATACTGCTGGTATCACTTTAACTACGGCGAGAAAGCAGCTAAGTGTATAAAGCCTTGTAAATATACAAAAAACTAGTTGGGCGGTCGATAGCTGCGACCGCTGATGAGTGTAAGTCGAACGCTAAGCGTTTGTTCGTCACTGACGCTAAAACTAAAGTGCAGTTTTTAGTCGACACTGGATCTGATTTGTGTGTTTACCCGTTAAGCTTAGTGCGCATGCAGCGACGCATTAAAACTAATTATGAGCTTTTCGCCGCAAATAATACTGTAATTGATACATATGGTTGGTTAGGTTTATGTTTAGATTTTGGTTTAAGGCGCGCATTTTCTTGGCGCTTTGTAATAGTTAATGTGAGCAAGCCGATAATAGGTGTAGACTTTCTATCCTACAACTTACTCGTGGACGTACGTAATTCGCGATTAATTGATAATTGCACTTCGCTTACGTCAGTCGCCTCGAATGCATTTGCTTGCCCGTGCCCGCACATAAAGGTCATTTCAGGTGATTCATCGTTCCATCGGATACTCCAAGAATATCCTGATATAATGCAGCCGGTCGGAGCTCCTTTGGAGCCAAAAATCAAACACCATACGCAGCATTATATCAGAACGACCCCAGGCCCACCTGTATGTTCGCGACCAAGGGGACTAGCACCTGATCGCTTAAAAATCGCGAAGCAGGAGTTTGAAGAAATGGTTCGTACGGGTATAGCGCGTAGGTCGGAGAGCTCATGGTCGTCACCCCTCCATTTAGTGCCTAAAAAGAGCGAAGGTTGGCGACCCTGTGGGGATTACCGTGCACTAAATGCTCGCACGATACCAGATCGATACCCAGTACGCCACATTGCTGACTTTTCACACAATCTCTTTAATCGTAAAATTTTTAGTAGACTAGACTTAGTGCGAGCGTACCATCAGATACCGGTTGCGATAGAGGATGTAGAGAAGACAGCTATTACGACACCCTTCGGACTTTTTGAGTTCCCACTAATGAACTTTGGCCTGCGAAATGCCGCGCAAACCTTCCAGCGCTTTATGGACGAGGTCCTCAAGGATCTCGATTTCTGCTTTGCGTACATCGATGACGTATTAGTTGCTGCCGCTGGAGCACCAGGAACATCTACGTGCGGTATTTTCGCGTTTCAGCGAATACGGTATTTTATTAAATACAAATAAGTGTGTATTCGCCGTGACGCAGGTGGAGTTTCTGGGCTACCTGGTTTCTTCGGAAGGCACTAAACCGGTTGGTGACAAGGTGAAGGCTATTCTCGACTTTAAACTACCTAAAACTATCAGGGATCTTAGGCGGTTTTTAGGAGCATTAAACTTTTATAGACGCTTTATACAGGATGCTGCCAAGCTTCAGGCTCCTCTCCATGCACTACTTAGTGGTCCATTGGTGAAGAGCAAGAGCAACATTAACTGGACTGCTAACCTAGAAAGCGCTTTTAATGGTTGCAAGGCAAGCATCGCTAATGCCGCTCTTCTGGCTCATCCAGATATGTCTGCTCCGTTGGCCATAGTAACTGACGCATCCAACTCCGCCATTGGTTCAGTATTGCAGCAGAAGGTCCTAGGTCATTGGCAGCCATTAGGATTCTTTTCGCGTAAGCTTTCACCAACGCAAATTAAATACAGTGCATATGATCGTGAACTCTTAGCTATTTACGAGTCAGTAAAATATTTTCGACATATGATAGAATTAAAACCCTTCTTTATAATGACTGATCATAAACCAATTATTTCAGCCTTTAAGAAGTCCCGCGACGCTTGCTCCCCGCGACAATTTAGGTATTTAGATTTTATATCCCAATTCACAACGGATATCCGTCACATTACCGGGAAGGACAATGTTGTTGCGGATGCGTTATCGAGAACGGATGCAATAACATGGTCGCTAGACCCTATTGCCTTAGCAGCTTCTCAGGACACGGACTCAGAACTCAAAAATATTTTGCGAACCGGTTCGTCTCTAAAGTTACAGAAGGTCTGTATTGGTGGTACAAAAATCTTCTGTGACATATCTGGGACCATAGACCAGACATAGACCATTCATAACACCTGCATTCCGTAAAATGGTTATTGATAATATTCATGGACTTAGTCATCCAAGTGCTAGGGCCACTATCAAATTGGTGACTGAGGGGTATGTATGGCCGGGCATTAGGAAGGATTGCCGGAATTGGGCGCGCTCGTGTATCTCATGCCAGAGATCGAAAGTATCGAGACACGTACACGCCCCTATCCAGAATTTTAAGTTTCCTACGGCCCGTTTCTCTCACGTTCACGTAGACTTGATAGGTCCACTTCCCGTCTCTGATGATTACCGATACTGCTTCACAGCTATAGATAGGTTTACCAGGTGGCCGGAGGCAGTGCCGTTAAAGGATATCAGAGCGGAGAGTGTAGCAAAAGCTTTTATATCATCGTGGATATCACGTTTTGGTTGCCCAGAAAAGGTAACCACAGATAGGGGGAAACAGTTTGAATCTCATCTTTTCAGGCAGATATCAGCGCTTATAGGTTCACGACATATACAAACTACTGCGTATCACCCGGCTGCCAATGGTCTAGTGGAACGCTTCCATCGACAACTTAAGGCAGCTATTATGTGTCACGCAGACGAGAACTGGACTGAGAAACTTCCACTTGTACTTCTGGGTATTTGTAGTGCATGGAAGGATGATTTGTCTGCTTCTATTGCTGAACTAGTTTACGGAGAACCGCTTAAGTTACCCGGCGACTTGTTTGAACCGACGGCTGATAGACTGACTGACTACACCGACTTTCTGGACAGGTTGCGTTTACATATGAAAAGGTTACAACCTACACCAGTTACTGGACATGGTACACGTAAAATCTTCGTTTTTAAAGATTTAGCGACTGTTTCACATGTATTTTTATGACAGGACTTTGTACGGAGATCGTTACAACCACCTTATGCCGGTCCGTATAAGGTAATAGAGCGCGGTAAAAAAAAATTTCAAAATTGACGTTGCTGGTAGAATAGTCAACGTTTACAAAGCACAAGAGGTAAAATACAAGAGCACTTTCAACTCCTCCGCAATTCAGGACGTCTCGCTACGGTCGCCGAGTACGATTCCCTGATTTCTATCGACCTTAAAGGTCTCCGGGGGGGCTGATGTGGCGACATGCATTTTTGTCATTCTTTTGCATGTTTAAGTAACGGCATGTGCGCCGACGCAAGGTTCGTGTCGGTTGGGGTCGGAAATGCTCGGCCCCGTTAGCGCTGCCTTCGTGACGGTCCGGGCGCCTTCGGTTTTTACTGGCAGTCAGCATTTAAACGGCCTCAACGCTAGACCTCACACTCGCGCCGCCGGAATAACGGTTATTTTTAAATCACGTCTAACTTATTCTCGGCTTCCTATCTCGAGCACTCTTTACTTCTAATTAGTAATTGTATTTTCATTATTCATTGTTTTTGCTACGTACTTATAAATTTAAATTGCCTGTGTAATAGAAGAATATATCTACATTTTGTGTTTGAGAGTGAAGACGCTTTTATTTGCCTAGCAACAACCCCACAGATCTTTATGAAAATTGAAAATGTATCTGACGCAATTGTTGAGTAGGCGCTCTAGCTTATTAAGAAGATTTTGGTTTAAATCCGGGTAACACACGTCAGCATAATCAATGATCGGTAGTATAAGTAACTTTACAAGCATAATGTTAGCCTTAAAGGGGAGAAAATTTTTCAAGCGATAAAGGGAACGTAAAGAACCAGAGACTTTACGACATGTTTTGGAGATATGAACCCCCCAGGACAGAGTACTATCAATATGGAGACCAAGATTTTTAACTGAGGAAGAGAACGGTATCAGGCGATCATTATAATAGACGGGAGGTAGGCTAGCGGCATCTATTTTTGCAAGTATCCTTGAGCTACTCATAATCACCGCTTGGCATTTCTTAGGGTTGACAGACACTCCAAAGCGTATTTTAGTCCTCGACATCTTTTCTCCAGTACTATTCCAGTCCCAGTTTAGTTTTTTTCTTTATAACGCTTGCTGTATTGAATTCAGTAAACCATAAGGGGTCCGTAGTCCGAACATCTAATCAGAGTGATGCTCTGGTACAAAAATAATCGGATTTTCCTTTCGACGCTCTATTAACGCGTGCAATGCCCTACTTCAAAATAGTTAAGTGTAATCGTTATACAAAATATTTTGTATGCATGGGACTACATAGCTATTATTATGCGATTGCGATTTTGTCCGCCGCAACAATCAGAAAAAAAAATTAATATACGAAACCCTTCTGCATATTTAAAAAATGAAACACAGCGCTACTAATTTCTGAGGATCATTTCCTGCTTATGGTCTCATTCCAGACGTACGAATATCCTTCGGCCTTTCCTATATCATATATAGTGAATTTGTATACAGCAAACTTCCTTTTGTAGTAAAAGATCGAAACTTCTGATTGAGGTGTAGTCAATACTTTCTGTAAGTTGTAAGCTACTGTAACTATAACGTCAGAATGTTTTAAATAAAACTTATGTCTCTTTCCACTCTCTTCCCACTATTTTGTTCGCAATATTCAAGCTTCATGTCATCTTTTTCGTTTTCAGATTCTCTCTTATATCCGTCGCAAAGGTACAAAGGTGTTTTTTAGGCTTATAGAATTCAATATTATTTTCGTTATAAAAAATTTCTTTATGTTGCCTAGAAATTGCCACTTTTTGCAACGGACGATTTTATTTCATCCAATTAACGTAATGCCTGTACAATGCAGTACTCTGCATGTTAAGATTTCTTCAAAGTACAGTTTGGAAGTTATTTGACGTAATATGAATCCACTATAGGAATTAACGAAATATGATTTCTAACAGTTTATTTAACTTCATTTGGTATCACATTTTTCCGATTAATATGTCGCCCCCTCAAATCTCCTGCTATAAGCCCAGTGTCTTCTTGGTCCATCTTCTTGTAAATAATTTGTAGCCACATATCACTCATACACACAGTTGTAGTGGTATAGCCCTCACGACTATATATATTAGTGTTAAGGTAGAATAAGAACAGTATAATTAAAGTTATAGAAGCATCAACACGCCTATATTTCATTTACATAGTTCCTATATCACATGGCGACCCTGCCAGGCGGTGCGCTGCTACAATGCACGCGCACCGCCACGGCTTGCAAAAGTTGTTGAAGATAATATAAATATTTACGCGGACTACACGGAATATATACCCGGATGTGACAAAAAAAATAAATATGAATACAAGAAGAGGCCACAATAATAATTTTACAGAAGGTGACTGGAAAAAATTAAAAAGTATGTATATGAAGTAGTACTATGATGGCAACTAAGAGGAAAATAAAGTGTTTTTTTATATAATGAGCAAAATTCAAGAAACGGCAGATTAGTTTTAAAAGGATAGTAACAGTTGTACTTTTGCAAGCTTCATCTACAAGAATATGAAATATGAGCCAAAAAGAACAAAGAAGAAAATTTGAGGTAACATCGAAACAGCGTAATTTTTTGACATTTTTTAAAGATTTCTTTAAAATTTTTATAATTATTATAAAAAAGTTACATATGTTTCTAATATATGATTATGTTTTTTTATCAGATAATTCACGATAAAATCGATCTAAAAAAAAATGCAATCATATGACAATATTAAAAATTAAGTTACTCTTTAACCACTTATATATTAACATACAGGCACAAGACGATTTTATATTCAATTTCATTCGGTTATTGTTTATTGTTTTATATTATTTTTATTACTATGTCCTGAAAAAACGAATGAAATAATATAGTAGATTACATTCTTACGTACTTAAATTTACCATGGTTTACCATCAATAAATTTTTCGTATAGTTAAAATAATACTGATATATTATTAAATATGATATATAATGATTTCTTATATTTCATTTCTTATAGATAAAATCCGTAAAATTAGTTTTATTTAAAAATATGATATATTTCGTAGTTTTTTTTTCTATAGTAAATTTTATTTAAATGTTTTAATTCAATTCGAAAAGGGTTTAAAACAATTCGGTATTAATAAGTATTAGTTTTTCTTTTCTTTTATAAAGGCAGTGAACCTTTAAGTTATGCTTATATACATAAACCTACTTAAAAATTAAAATTGGTCTTTTTAATGCTTAAATAAATTAATGTTTTGTTGTGTAAAGTTGATATGTGTTACAGTGATTATTAAATTATTTTCTGTAAACGATATAGTAAATACCATACTTCTAGAAATCTTTTTCGATCCAAGCAAAAGTAATGTGTCTAAAATTCTGTGTAAATAAGGAATTTAATACCATCAATTTACTTGTATCCACATATTATGTATGTAATAATAACATTGTATAAGTTACGTTTAAATTAGGTGATCATAATACGATGTAATCGCAAACGTTGCCATATACGTACTTTGTTCATTAAAACAAAGGTGTCTCAAATCGCTTGCGCTGCTAAGAGTGGAATTACAATTTGTATTTTGATCTGTCTGTCGTTATGCGATCATGTTATTGTTATTGAAAACTACGTTGCTTTGACTTCTTTGTTCTATATCTTAATATGAAATGCAATAATTTTTTTTTTATTTAATATTGATTAAACTTTCATATCATAAAGTTTTAACTATTATAATTCATTATTTTTGGGATAATAGATTGACTATCTAACCTATTTGTGTGGATTATGAAAATAACTACTGCGTTTAATTCGATTTTGATACTCATTATATTATGTATACAATTAATTAATTTAAATTTTATTGTACCCATATTGTGAGCCTCAATCCCTGACCGACAACGATGTAACTAAATATTATACGAGACTATTATATGATATAAATTTGTAAAAGATGTGAATAAATGTTTGGCTAAGTTACGGATTACGTAATTATAAATGAAAAATATTAATAGTGTGTACCTAAGTGTGAGAGTAAGGTAAAGAAAAATTATCGGAGGTTAGCATATCCATATACAATCAGCTTGATCAGCTGAGAGTTTGGAAAACCTAATAACCGATTAATTTTTAAGGTGGTTCTGACACTATTAAATACGGAATAAGTTGTTAATGAGGAAATGTATTGTTAATGAGGAAATTAGAATTTATTATGAATTGTATAGGAATATTATCCATAATATTAATCATGTATGTACGCGAGCCGTGTACGTGAAAATTATGGTTTAATCATTGAGGTAATATGTTACTACGTAACAGTAACATATTACCTCAATGGGTTTAATTAAAAAATGGTTAATAAATACTATAAATGTAAAGAAATAAACAAAAATAAAACAAAAGTTGACCTTGACAAATAAATAATGGAAAGATACGGGAACGTCCATCACTGGTACAGCATATAGTCCTCGAGCAGGGTATGTTTCCATGATTGGATGATAAAATCTGGAGTAACGGGTACTAGGGAACAATACCTTCAGTACAAGTGATGTGAACGAGTTTACTCATATTAGTACTATTGGGGACCAGATAAGTCTTAAATTTGTTACCCTTAATAATGGTACATAGAGGTCACACCCTTCATTGGATCATAGTGTGAACTTAGTTTTCCACCGTGACAATTGTTGGAGTCCTTTTAAAATGACTTAAACGTAGACCTCAAGGTTGTGCACAACTCAAGGTACACTATTACCTTGATATAGTATGATGAAAAAAGTTTATGTACCAATAAAATGAAATAAATGTTATGAAAAAGTAATATAATACCCAAGTAAATGGGGGACCCATATTTATAAAGTACCCACGTGATAAATATCACGAAATTAAATATAAATGAAATGAATTAATACTCCGATTCCCGGTATCTAAATAATAAATAAATATATAAGTGAATAAAGAGAAATAAAGCTAGCTAAAGGTAAAAAAAAATCAAGAAAAAAAGTACGTAC